AACAACAACGAGCACGGCGCGCCAGTCCCAGTGCGTGCCGTATGCTCCCATCACGAAAAGCACGGCAGCAAAAAGAACATGCCCCGCGACTTGCAGAAGCGCCGCGTTGAGGGTCTCGACGTGGGCCCAGTACAAGGCCACGTACGGTGCGGCCGTCGACCCGACGCTGCTCGTCAAGAGACCAAACACAAAGTTGAAGATCATGATCTGCCACACGGCGCGCTTCTGCGTGAGCGTCCAGAGCTGGCGCCCGTAGATGCGCAGTGGCACCCGGGGTTTGGCCTCGTCTTGGAGGTAGCAGCAAGCAACGAAAAAATTGCAGACCGTGGGCACCGCGAGGATGGCAAAAAAAACCTGGATGCCAATGTCCCAGTCAAACGACCCGGCCATGCGCGTCGAGTTGAGGCAGACGCCCGAGACGAGCGAGATAAGCGCCATGAAGAGCGCGCGCACCGCGTACACCATCGACTGGAGGCGGCCGCGGACAGCGTCCGGCTCGCGCTGCGCGTACTGGACGAGGAGCGCATCTTGAGCAACGTCGGCGAGGATGAAGAAGAAGCACGCGAGTGCGCAGAGAAGCGTAAGGCCGGCGCCGTTGGCCGCCGCCTTGGTATCTGGCGCGGGTGCTCCTGAAGGTTTGGCCGCCAAAAGCACCAGCACAATCGCAGTCAAGAGCCAGCCAAGAACAATGTACGGCTTCCGGTGGTAGCCAACGATCGGGAAGCAGTCCGAGAGAAGACCGAAGAAGACCTTGAGCGACCAGCCGAGACTCATGAGCGCACTGCCCGAGTTCAGCACGTTGCCTTCGAGCTGGAAGTAGCCCGTGAGGATCGGGTACTTGATGCTGGCGAGGCCGCCCTGCACAAGGCCGACAGCAGCGTACTGCGCTAGCAGGGCCAACACCGGTGCGCTCCAGTAGACGGGCGGCGGCCCTCCGCGCAGTGCGCCGCCTTCCAATGCCTCGGGTGTTGCTGGCGCGTACGCTCCCTCGAGCTTGCTTGTGTCGAGGGACAGCGACAGGCAGTCGAGCTCGCGTCCGTAGCGCATGCTTTTTTCCAACTGACGGACGCGGACCATGAGGTCTGTCCGTTGGACAATCGCGTAAACAAGGGCCGTGATGGGTGGTCATGTTACACTACTGCACACTACACCGCGACAAGGAGGAGGAGGTGTGCGCGGGGGGTGCGTCGGGGGCGCGCCCAGAACGGTAAACTCGGTTTCGCCCGCGACGAGGACGTCGCCGACGCGCACGGACGTGGCTTCGTTGTCCTTGAGGCGAATGTACGTGCCCAGCGAGGTCCCGAGGTCTTGCACAAAGTAGGCGCCTGCTCTCACGTCAGCGCTCCATTGCTAGTGCAAGGGGTAGAAGTACCGTTGCGGTGGTAGATCCACGCGTGCGCCGGTGCGATATCGCGCTCGCTGAGGACGATCGAGGCCACGGCAGGGTCGTTGCCGAGCACGGCGCAGTTGTAGACGACGTGGACGTCGCCGCGCTTGGGGCCGGAGAGCACGTAGAGCACGAGTGCGTACTCGATGCTGTCCGTCTCGTGGAGGTGCTGCAGTCGTGCTTGGAGGAGGTGCACATTGCGCTTCTTTTGACGCCACGCGTCGGCTTGGACCATTGTGACGACGTTGCCCGAGCCCTCGTCGATGAGCGCGTCGGCCATGTGCTCGGAGAAGGTCGCCATCCAGAATGGCCTGGCGTCGCCGAGCTTGGGCGACAGACACAAGTGCACTACGTTCACAATTGTCGACATTTCATATTGCGATGGCGGTAGATCCGCACCAGACGCTTCCTTCTTGGCGGTCGCGTGCGAGAGGTCGGCGCGGGAGAGGCCGCGGTCGCGCGTGCCCACCTGGAGTCGCGGGTCGTTGCGCGTGGGCGGGATCAAACTGAGCTCAATGGACCGCTTGTACTCTTCGAGGCTGAGTGTGTAGCACCCAACGGTGTCTTGCGCGTGCACCTACGACGCTCGAAGAGATCGGATGGGATCGAAGTCGTACCGAGAGCGGGGGCGACGCGAGGGACGTGAGCTCGCCAAACCACGTCCAAGCCGCGCGCACCACTGTTTCTTCGGCCTCGCACTTGCAGAGCACCGAGCCGCGCACGAGGCAGTAGAGCCCGAGCCCTTGCGCACTCAAGTCGGTGCCGGCTGGAAAACTCAAGAGCTTGAGCTTGAAGCCAACGCGATGTAGGAGCGTCGGGCACACCTACGCCAGCGCATGAGCCAAGGACTCGCCGAAGTCATCAGACGAGTTGAAGGCCGCGAAGATCTTTGAGTGATTGTAGAACCTCCCGCTCAACGATGCCCCGCGCCAGCGGCACTTGGTACAGCTCGCGGTAGTTGCCACACATGTAGTAGAGCTCACTAGCCAAATAGCTTGCAGCGATCTAGACTGGTTATGCGACATACCGAGCGGACAAGACGACGCAAACGACGTTGGTCTGGGCGATCGCATGCGTATCGTATGCCGCAACGAGGCGCGCGGGTGGTCCCAGCAGCGCGACTTCGCCGCACCAGTCGCCCGGTCCGAGCTGCTCCAAGTACTTGCACGTGCCTACGCGCGATGTGAGCGAGAGGAGGCATTCTGTTTCTACCGTCGCGCGAGCCGTTGCGGTGCAGAATGATGTGGCCTTGCAGGACGATGTAGGCGTTCAAGGCGTCGTGGCCTTGCTTGTAGATGCTCTCGCCGGCGCGGAACTCGACCTCCTTGGCGTGGTAGGCGACGTGCGTGATCTCGGCGAGTCCGTTTGGGATCGAATGCAGCAGGAGCCACGGCAGCTGCTGCAAGAGCGCGATGCGTTCGTTCCAGTACTTGTTTTGCATGCCCTGCGAGAGCGTTGGATCCTGCTTTTCCTTGATCGCAACGACTTCGAGCTCCGAGTTGCCGATTCGCAGCACCGTCTCGCGCAGGAGCTGGAGGCCGCGCGCCACCACCGGCGGCGAAATCGCTTGTTTGTCTATTCCAGTCATTTTATACATGACAGTCGACAGGAGGTGGAGCGACCGGCCAATACGTGCACGTGACGTGGCGGCCTCCGGTGCAAGAGATAGTATAAGCCTTGGTTGAGCGCGCCGTAGAGCGGGCGAACGCTCACGCGCTGCTGCGTGTTCTGCACCGAGAACTGCTGCAGCTTGAGCGCATAGCTGCCGAGGGCAATGTCGCATTCTAGTATCAATATGTCAAGTGGAAACTCAAAAATGTAAGAAATGGCCAAATATCAACCGGTTGCTCGACCAACGTGGACTGTCTTGTCGCGGGGGAGCGCCAAGTGCAGCGGTGTGTGCACCTTGCGCTTGCGACGCACCGAGTTGCGCAGGTGCGCTATCGCGAGGCCGGCCGTTGGCACCGGCGGCGACGGCGCCTCTTCCACCGTCAGCGTCGTCTCGCCGAGGACGAGCTGATCGCCGATCACGATCTGCGCTGGGTGGCGCAGAAAGACCCGCGTGCCGTGGGCCACGTCCGAGAGCACATAGTCGCCCTCTGCAAACTCGATTTTGGCGTGGATGGGGCATAGCTCCGGCGCGTACAGGTCGCAGCCCGGGAGGCTACCGATGAGCACGGACGCATGGTCGGTGAACGTGGCAACTTGCACCGGTTCGATCGAGCGCAGCGAGTGGGCAGCGACGCGGAAGGCCTCGGGCTTGCGCTGTAGCTGGAGCACGAGCAGCTTGGGAGATGCAACGCGACTCGTTTTCTGGAGCTTCAGCGGCGGCGAGAGCGACACGAGCTGCGGCGGCTTGGTGTCAAGCGTCACGTGACTAAACTGCACCTTGGCCGCTCGCGGCGGCGGCACGACCGTGGTTGCCGTCGCCGTCGTCACCTGAATCTCGAGCACGGTGATGATAAAGAGCTCGCTGAGCTCGATGACGTCGCCTTCTTGGAGCGGGTACCCTGCGCGGCGGGTGCCCCGCGCTGCAATCTGGAGGTACGTCGAGTGCTGAGCGACGGGCTCGACAAAGTACGCGTCCTTGTGGCACGTGACCTACGCGATGACGATTCAGTTGGCCGAGACGACGCGTCGACGCACTTTGGCGTGGCGGCCAGCGACGTGGGCGTCGTGCAGCGTCAGGAGCATGTCGTCGCCCGCGAACGACCCAATGTACCCTGTGCGCAGCGGCCAGCGGTCGCTGCCGCGCGTGAGCTCGAGCGCGGGAAAGGCCGCGAGCGCGCTCCGTCTGCGCTGGCCCATGAGCTTGTGCAGGACCGTGTTGGCCATGAGGCGGTAGTCGATCGGCGCCGCCATGGGCGCCACAGCGCCCTTGCGCCACCACCGTTTGGGGGGTACCAACTCGGTCATCCCGATGCAATATCGTTACTATATTTAGGCGACGAGCAAGTGCAAGGTCTTTTCCTGCGGGTACTCGACGAGTGTCTCGAGCTCGACGATGAAGACGCCTTGGATCTGCTGGAGGCCCGCGATGAGCGGCAGCAGCTCGACGTCCAGTTGCGTGCAGCCATTGGTCGACACGACACCCACGTTCTATGAGAGGGTCCAGAAGGTCCAATCGAGCGTGCAATGTCGTGTACCTGGTGCGAGAGCGCGCTGCAGACGATGCCGGTCATGAGCTCGCGGCGCAATTGCAGCTGGAGGTTCATCGGCCGCGTGCCGTTGTTCTGGACGACGAAGGTGGCGACGAACGGCTGGCCCACGCGCAGCGGCTGCGTTGGCACCACGATCGAGACGCTGGCCTCCTTGAGACTGCCGACCTGCTCCGTCGTTAGCACGAAGTGCGCGAGGATGTGTACCTTGCGCATGACGGGCTGCGTCTGGAGACTCCCGGCCTCGCCCATGCTGCTCTTCCACGCGACCTCGAGGCGCCCTACAACCACATGGATGCTACGATGTCGACCAGTGGGATGCGATCGTACCGAGGTTGAGCGTGCCAAGCGACAGATCGAGCTGGGGCGACGAGACCTTGAAGACGCGCTGCAGCGTCTCTTCCGGCCCCACGTACGCTTGGCGGTCGGTTCTACAGCCAATGAATGATGGTGACAGCTGGACAGAGACGAGCGGGATTTACTCGGGATCTCGGACGGTCGCGAGTTCGACGGCGCGGAAGGGCGGCGACGCGAGGAAGTGGACCGTCTCGACGTGCAAGGGTGCTTGCGTGATGTTCTGGATCTTGGCCTCGACAAACGACTCTTCCTGCATCGGTGTGCGATACAACCACAACAAACATGCGCGTTCTACCTGGATGAGCAGGTGCTTGAACGTGATCGTGAGCGGGTTGAGCACGTTAAAGCGGTAAAACTTGCGCAGCGACTTGGCCTCGAGCGTGATCGGGTCCAAGTACGAGACGCCGACGCGGAGCCTACGAGGCGAGGACCGAGGTAGAGGAGTGGCACAAGAGCCTCCGTACGTGTGCACGCCGACTTCGTTGAGCTCGTACTCGACCGCCATGTCGAGGTTGCCACCGCTCGGCAGCAAAGGCATCGGGTTGGGCGGCGGCGACGAGCCTAGCCTCCCATAAGCAAGTGCTATTGCATACTCTGCCGTATGCACCGCCGCGGGACACGCGCGTGTCGGCGAGGTCGCTGCGATTTGTCGGCGTCTGGAGCTTGGCCTAGGCTGGACGCGTGAGATCGCGGCAGCATGGCCGGCGCACCGTCAAGCCGACTTGCTGCAGATCGCACGCAAACTGGTTGATGACGCTAATGTAGCTGCTAAAGGTCTCGCCGAGGTAGATGTTCCTAGCACGCCGGTCCATGAGCCTCACGCCCAAGCGCGACGCCACGTACCCAAAGCTGTCGGGCAGCAGGAGCATGTTGGAGAGCTCAAAGTCGCGGCTGTTGGACTGCTCGACGTTGAGCCGCGGCTTGTAGAGCCGCATGACCTTGAGCGTCGGCTGCGTCGACGTGGGCGGAGCGGCCGACATGCTGGCGATGGAAAACGCGTGTGGGATTTCACGCGTGGCTTTTGCGTTTTGCACAGTGAAAATCGTTTCTCACATCAACCCCACTCGTCCTCGCCAGGTGGCGCAGGATGCAACGTCGAGTGTACTGAATTAGTGTGCGAAGATATCGTTTGCTAGCACAAGAAACCAGCGTACAAGCTACAGAAAACCCGCTTGAGTTTGACGCCCGACCCGATTGTCCACCTTTGAATCCAACTCGACCTACTGGGCGACCGAGCTCCAAGCTCCGTTGAAGACGATGTGATAAAGACAGAGCAGTGATAAGTTAGCATACAGTGCGGTTCAACTCTAGCCGCCATCCGAGTGTGGGCTCGAGATGCGCTCTGTGCCTTGACTGTCGTAGCCGTCGAAGAACGTCTGGAGCTCGGAAAACCCGATTTCGCGGCACACGTGGCCGGTCGTGGTGCTGTCGGCGAGGCTCGCGACCTCGTGCCACATGGCCTCGAGGTCTTGCATCTCGTCGTTCTCGGTCGGCAGGTGCTGCTTGGCCCACTCGTAGAGCGTGCGCGCGATCTGCTGTTGCTCCTCCATCTGGCCCCGGAGCCGCGAGTTGGTCGAGGCGCTGGACGCGCTATTGGCCGCCATGGCCTCAGCCACCTCCTTCCACGGCAGCGCGCTGCTGCCTCGGAGCGCGTGGAGCTTTTGCGTGAGCCCGACGATCGTCGTGTTGAGCGCGTCGATTTCCGTCAAGTACGTCTGCCGCGCACAGCGCTTGGCCTCGCGGTCGTAGACTTGCCGGCGCTCGCGGACCTCGGGCGGGATCGACGGGTCGTTGTAGCTTTTGCGCTTGCTTGAGGCCATCGTGGGTTGTTCAGAAATGAATCGGACGCTCGCTCACTCAACAACATTAGAACCGCGCAAGTCGGGGGTCCGAGCTGCGCAGTCTTTCAATTACACACGAGCCTGGGACCGAGCACGCCGTGACGACGATGTCTTGCTAATTGCCAACGGCGTCGAGAGTCCGTCTCATGGTCGCCAGTGTGATCCAAAGAAATGTGTGCAACGGCGTTTTCGGTTGTCACGCTGAGGGCCACGACGTCCTCGTAGTAGACGCCACACCGCCACCTTGCCTGCCGTCAGACACACCTCGTTCTGCATGCTTTGCAGTCGTTGAAAGCAGTCGTCGCCAACGCGATCTGTCACACAAACCCTGGCTCAGCAAGACGCCGTCATGAACGCCATTTTGCATCGAATAAGGTCGGGACCATTTTCATTCCGCGCTCCTGTGTAAGCCAAGCGCTATCGAACGACACGGTGTACGGGTCAGAGTCGGTGGGCTAGTGGATTTAAAATCCAGGACCAACGTACCACGCTTTAAGTGTAAATTTTGACCACCGCATCTGGCCTTTCGCAGCTGGTAACGCCTCCGTGCAGCGACGCCACATTGCACTACGAGTCAACATCCAGACCAGTCGGTCCACGGTCCGAGCAGCGACCGACGGCGACAATGGCTACACAATGGCTACTTGGCGGCGATCCCAGTCAAAGACACGGTGTCGAATACTAGTCTGTCTGTGGTGACAATTCTCGATCTTAGTCCGTACCGCTCTCTCGATGACCGTATTGCAGAGGATTCCCACCCAAGTCCAACTGGTAACCAGCAGGTCCAGAGCAGCTTCCGGAGCTACGTCAATTCGTAGGAAGCGTCTGTGGGACTGGACGCCGTGGCCTAATGCTGTGTCAACCCTATGTGGGAAATGGTGTTTTTCACGGTGCTTTTACCGTGTGTTTACGGTGTTTTTTAGCATTGTCTTAACAGCCAATCCAGGGCGCGTATTCCGAATACCGGTCTTGGATTGGCTGAAATTCCGTAACATCCAAGGGCTCTGGTCCATTTACAGACCGAGCAACATGGACGTGGTCAAGATCGCAGCGTCGGTCGCTGTCGGCGCCCTTGGCTACCACTACCTCGCGAGCCGCCCGGCGCCAACCGCTCCGAGCCACGCGCGCAGCCCCGCGCCGGTGACCAGCCACCAGAAGGAGGACGCCGAGGACGACGCCGAGAGCGACGACAGCGAGGACGAGGGCGACGAGGAAGACACGCTCAAGTGGGAGCCGCACAAGATGGTGCTCGTCGTGCGCAACGACCTCAAGATGGGCAAGGGCAAGATCGCCGCGCAGTGCGGCCACGCGACGCTCGGTGCGTACAAGCGCGCAGTGAAGCGCACGCCGCAGGCGCTCGAGTGCTGGGAGGCGCTGGGGCAGGCCAAGGTCGCGCTCAAGGTTGAGACGGAGGCCGAGATGCTCGAGCTTGCAGCGCGTGCCAAGGAGCTCGGCCTCATTCACTACGTGGTCGTGGACGCGGGCCGGACGCAGATCGCACCGGATACGAAGACCGTCCTCGCCGTCGGTCCCGCCCCGAATGGCGACGTCGACAACCTCACGGGCCATCTCAAGCTCATGTAATAGTGTAACGTAGTCTTCCCATGCAATGACATTATTGTGCAGTCTTATCTCGAGTCTACCAGACGACGCACTTGTCCTTGGGGTTCATAAAGGACCCGAGCGGGCACTGGAAGGCGTCGGCGAAGAAGGGCGAGTTCATGAGCGGGCCCTGGAGCCGCCACTTGCCGGGCGAGTGCGGGTCCGTGTGCATGAGGACGCGCGCGAGGTTGTCGCTGCGCTTCTGGCACCACCAGCCCTGCGCGAAGGACGTGAAGAAGAGCTGCCCTTCCTCGCGCGCCATCGGCGTCGAGAGGCCTTGCCGCGCCGCGTAGGCGAGGTACGCGAGCTTGACGCCGCCATTGTCGGCGATGTTTTCGCCAGTGTCAGCGCGCCGTCGACATGCCCCAGCAGCGTCTTGTTGGCGTCGATCGAGACGATCGGGAAGGCATCGTACTGCTGCTGGAGGCACTGCGCGTTGACGTTGAAGGTCGCGGCCACCGAGTCCGTCCACCACGACGTGAGCTGCCCGTGGGCGTCAAAGAGCCGGCCCATGTCGTCGAAACCGTGCGTGAGCTCGTGCCCCATGACGACGCCGATGCGTGCGTAGTTGGCGATCATCGGCTGCGCGGTCGCGGAAAAGATGGGCGGCTGGAGGATGCCGGCAGGGAAGACCATCTTGTTGGCGCTCGGGTCGTAGTACGCCTCGACCTCGAAGGACCCGAGGTCCCAGCGCGTCGGGTCGCTCGGCCCACCGATCTGCGCGAGGCGCGTGCGAAGCTCGTCTTGCGTGATCGCCAGTGCGTTGCCAAGAAAGTCGGTAGGCGACATGTTGACGGGCGTCGTCGGCGGCGTCGGCGGGCCACCGACAAAGTTGCGCACGGCCTGGATCTTCTCGAGCGACCGCGATCGCGTGACGTCATCGAGCCACGGCTCGGTCTCGACAAGGCGCGTCATCGCTGCTTCAATGTCGCCGATCAGCGTCTTGGCCGCGACAGCGTCCGGGAACGCGGCGGCTTGAAAGGCGGCACCGACAAAGGCTGGAAGCGACGCCAAGGTCTCGGCGCGACAGAACGCGTCGCGCGCAGGGAGGTCGCCGAGGCCGCCGAGGACGCCAGCGAACGCATGGTCGATGCGCCGGGGCTCTTCACCAACGAGGCGCCCGATGGTGGCCACGAGGCGGAGACCGACGTACTGACGCAGCGTCGCCATCGACGTCGCATTCAAAAGGGCCACTTGCTTTGTGAGGAACGCCGGCGTCATCACGAGAAGCGCTGGGTCGGCCGCCGTCAACGGGATCGCTGCGCCCTTGAAATACGACGACAAGAACGGTGCCGCCGACGTCAGCGCCGCTGGCGTCATCTTGTTGTACGTTGCCGTCGGGTCCCGAAGCGCCGCGTTCGGTACGGCGATGGCCGTCAGCGCCGACTCGAACGCCCAGAGGTCCGACGCCGACGCGTTCCAGCGAAGAAGGTTCTTCCACGAGGTGACGTACTGGGTGAAGAGCGCGCGGTTAGTAGGCGAGGCGTAAAACTCGATCGTTGGCAGCGTCCAGCCGCCCTGCACGAGCGTGAGTACTTGAACGGATGCGTTCTTGGGGTCCACTCCGACGTCCATTTCCAAAAACGAGGCGACGCCGGCGGACCGGTAGAGCTGGCCAGCGTACGCTAGGATGTCCGACTTGGACGACAGCGCGTCGAGGGCGGCGAGGTGCGACTGCAGAACCGAGACGTTGGTCGTTGTCGCGTTGAGACAGGCGTCGTAGAAGGGCCCGATGGTCGGCGGCTTGTCAGCAAGGATGGTTTGGATGATGCGGTCGTTGGCGTGCTGCACGACCGTGAACGACGTGTCGATCGAGCCGGCGGTCGCCGGGATATCGGCCGTCTTGGCCCACCCGCCGCACGCGTACTCGTAAAAGTCTTACGCACGGGTCCACGCTGCGGTCCATCATCGACTCCATTTTGGCAAAGAACTCGTCGTAGGTGTCATCGGTAGCGTGGGTACGCAGGAGCGCGTAGGCACTTGCGCCCGCCACGGCCACGGCGGCAGCAGCGACACCGATGCGCTTCCAGTTGCGGGCGGCGGGCGCCGAGCCAGTGTCGGACAAAAGGGGCTTGCCTTCGGCAGCCTTGATCTGGACGCTTGCCATGGTCGAGGAAGGTTGTCAAGTGACGATGTCGTCACATTGCACTTCATCCGAGCTCCGCCAATCACTTCCGCCACTTGAACCTACATTCCGCATGAGAGTGATGGTTGAAACCCAAGCAGTCAGCGGCGACATCGACGGCCGGGACGACCGGCTGCTGGCGAGGGCAGGAAGTTGCTGCAACGAAAAGCCTGAAGCCAGGCTCACTGGCACGTCGCTCCAGTCCGAAATATGGGCACTTGAATGCTGCCGACGAACAAAGGCAAGGGTACGAATGACGCATGTGTGCCACTGTGTGCCAACTCAGATGCCAAGCACTGCGCAACGTCGTCGTCCAGTGGTCCAGAGCAGCGAATGGACCTGCAGACTCGCCAGCGTCGAAGGGATGGTATATGGTGCATCGGCTGTCGTGCAACTCTTCCTTGTCCCTAGACAATTGGCCGCCGCGTTGCGACCTCGAAGCAGCGCAGTGCACCGCTCGGAACGTGATCCTCGGCTTGTTGTCGAGGCGTACCAAGGAGAGTGACGATCGACTACCTGGTACGTGCATGCATTCCAGTCGTGACGACTGCAATCAATGAACGTTGTGTAGGCTTTCTCGCCGAACATCACTTGTGAGTGAAACCAGCAGAGCTCTTGCTTTGTCAAGCGGCGGGAAGCAAAGGCACTGGTTGTACACAACACAAAATTTAAGGATTACATAGGCTATTTTGTCTCATCCGCATCGAGACACTATTTCGCTGTTTAGCGCGCGTAGAAGGCTTTGGCCGCGATCGCGAGGAGCGCGAGGCCGCAGGGCACAAAGATTCCGAGGAGGTACAGCTGCGACGTGCCTTCGGGGCAGCCCTTGCCGCCGGCGATCTTGGTGCAGCCCGTCGACTCGAACATGGACGCCATCGTGCCCGTGATCGAGGTCGCGAGGATCGCGAAGAAGGCGTAGAAAATAAAGACCGCCACGCGCGGGTAGCTGCCGCCCGTCTTCTTGAGCTCCATGACGGCGGCCTTTTGGTTGGGGAGGAGGAAGACCCAGAGGCAGCCGATGACCGTCATCGAGTAGGCAAAGATGTACGTGTACGCGACCTGCGACCGCACGTGGTCCGTGTCGGTCTTGATGTCGGCCTTGGAGACGTCAAACTGCCCGCACACGACGTTGGTGATCATCGGGCCGAAGACACCCGGGAGGTTCGTGATCGTCGTGAGGAGACCGTACATGACGCCCTCGTTGCCGGGTTCGGCCAACTCCACGATCACAAACGTGCCAATGACAAAGCCGATGCCAGCCGGGAGCTGCTCCGTGAGCGGCACGCCGAGGTAGAACCACTGGTTGCGGAAGAGGTCAAAGACCGTGATGAACTGCACAATCGCATCAATCGCGTTGGCCGAGATGGTCGTGATCACGAGCACGTAGCGCCAGTTCCAGTGCGTGCCGTATCTGCCGGTGGCGACGAGGACGACGGCGAAGATCATGGAGCCGACGATGCTCATGATGGACGAGTTGAGGTTCTCGACCTTGGCCCAGTAGAGAGAGACGTACGGCCCCGCGGTGGACCCGATGTACGACGTGAAAAGCGAGAACATAAAGTTGAAGATCATGACTTGCCACACGACGCGCTTCTGCGCGAGGTCCCAGAACTGCTGGAGGTAGACACCGACCGGCACCGCCGCCTTCTTTGTGTCCTTGAGGAAAAACCACACGACCGGCACGTTGACGGCCGACGGAATCGCCAGAATCCAAAAGTACCCGTTGACGCCAATGTCCCAGTCGTAGTCGCCGGTCATGCGCGTCGAGTTGAGGCAGAAGCCCGAGATGGCGGCCATGACAGCCATGAGCACCGTGCGCACGGCGTAGATCATCGACTGGAGGCGGCCGCGGACAGCATCCGGCTCGCGCTGGGCGTACTGGACGAGGAGTGCGTCCTGGGCAACGTCGGCCATGATGTACGAGAAACAAGCAACGGCGCAGAGGAGGGCGAGGACGGCGCCGTTCGAGGCTGCGTTCTCGGCGTCAATCGACGCGTCGTCGCCGGCCGGCCGGATCGCGAGGAAGACGAGGATGATGGCCGTGAGGAGCCAGCCGATGAAGATGTACGGCTTGCGGTTGTAGCCAACGATCGGGAAGCAGTCGGTGAGCATGCCGAAGAAGACCTTGAGCGACCAGCCGAGACTCATGAGCGCCGACGCCGAGCTCAGCACGTTGCCTTCGAGCTGGAAGTAGCCCGTGAGGATCGGGTACTTCATGTAGGAGAGGCCGCCGTAGACGACACCAATGACCGCGTACTGGAACACGAGCGCCATCACTTCGGGGGACGAGTAGACGGGGGCGCCGCCTTCGCGGAGGGCGCCGTCTTCGAGATCCAAAGGGGTCTTGACGCCCTCGTAGTCGTCGCCCTTGGCGCCGGCCTGGACGTCGAGCGACGCCACGTACGAGAGCCGCTCGGCAAGCGCGATGTCGTTCTTCTGCGCCAACATCCTTCTTGGTTCTTTGTCCTTGTGGGCTGGAGGAGGCAAAAAGCAAAGTGAGCAGCAAGTGGAGGTGTGTGTATAGAAGGAAGAAATGCAGCTGGGACTTGAAGCATCCGAGTGGGTGAGACCACGTGGTGCGAGTAACCTGCATAGTCCAAGCCAGTTATTTTCTTGAACGCACCCATGACGTTTGCATTCTTGTGGCCCTGCGTTGTGGACGTCTGATTATCAGTCTCGCTTGGCTTCTTTTTCTTCTTTTATGTTATGGAATTGCGTCCTTTCTACGAGAAAGGTCGGACCTTCAATGAAAACAAGTCCATGCCCCACTGCCCATTCCCTTGGGGCACAATACAGTTGTGATGTTGACCACTCAGTCCGCACGGTGGTAGCTACGCCGCCAGATCCACCGCGCGCGCAGCGAGCCGCCGACGATTCCCAAGACTGTCGACGCGCTGTCGTGGTCACCGATGCCGGTACATGCGCTTGCTCGTGAATGCGCAATCGAAAGGAGCGATGCTGAGGCAGTCCTCTTAAGCTATCACCGTGCGCGTCGCTCACCTGCGGTGGCTGTGGCGCCGTATCAAAGATAACCACATGTTGACGGGTCCCATTTGCACCTTGAAACCTAGGCTACAGTGGACGCAGGCCCTTGACGCGTCATTGGTGCACACTGCACTGTACCTGTGCGAGGCAAGCTCCATGGCCAGAGCACTATGATAGTGGGTCCACCATCGTGCTGCTGAACGATGGTGTCGAGCTCCTAGAGCTAGAGTTGCATGGCCTTTCAGCCTACGGATTCGGTGACGAATCACACACAGCTGGTAGAGACATGTGGTGAACGGTGCTGGAGTGGGGGCAGAAAGGGTGTCGAAATCACCCGTCGTTCCGATGGGCGTATATTTGATTGAGCAGTCGCTTGCCGTTGAAGCTCCTTGTGCAGGTCGACGCGTCGAAAAGCGACTTGCTTCATGCATAGCACACGTTCGCTGTCCACACCCGAGAGCCTCGTTCGATGCCGCCTGGATACGGGGCTGAAAAGGGTTGAAAAAAGAAGCAAAGGGACGCAATTGTCGACGCGCATGACCAGGGTGATGCTTTCGTCTTCTAACGTGCTGCACCCAACCGGCTGGTTCTTGCACTTGGATTCGACGCCACAAGAAACCACAAGAACGGGTGGCGTCGAAGAAGTAACCTTGGGTGGAGTATAGAACCGAAGTCGACATCAATATGGTGCACAAAGAAGAGAAAAGAGAGAGACGTGGTTGAAAGCTTTAAAACCTACCTCTGTCCCAGCGCATAGAAGGTCCAAGCTTGTTGGCCGTGAGTAGTGTACATGCTTGGGCGGGTCGAGCGGTTCACGAGGTTCTGCCTCGAAGCCACCGCGATGTCGCGATCCCTCTGGGCGCCAAAAATGAAGCTCGGTGAAGACGACGCCGCCGTGGCCTACATGTATTTTGACGCTAGCGATGCGACCAAATCAATCGCTCAGCTACTGCATGAAGGCAAACAACTACAGCCGTCAGCAAGGGTTAATAAACTGTTTCTTGACCCTTGTCGTCAGGGAACGCCTCCAGCGACTGAGTGGTAGACAAACTGGCAGAAAACGTTTATGGTCCGTACCCATCCCATGACGTTGCTCTCGTCACTGCGCGACCAGCAAGCCTTGTTAGTTGGCGTAACAATACGACTGCCGTGCTATTTGGGGTCTTGTCCCAGACGGCAACTACAGATCGACCCTGAGAAGACTTTCGCTTTTCTATCAAGTCTTCAGTGTGACGAACAGCGCACCACAGTGTTTAGTGCCAGCAGCAGCAGCAGCGTCGGATGCGATGGCGTTGATCTTTTCGTTTGCTGCCATGACGTGGCTTCTTCGATAGCACCAAGGCATCGAGTGTGATGACACTCGAAATGGAGCCTGTTGTAGCTGCCAGTCACTGCTTCAGCGAGGGATATGAGGAGTCGGATGGCGTCAAGTGTGCAGAGTACCGTGGAAGCCACGCTCCAAAACCAGCGCCAACAAGCGCGTCCGACCCAGTCGTACTTGAGAGCCTCGACCACGAGAAAACGATTCAAGCAAAAATGCTGCCTGGCATATCGCTCGGAACAAAACGAGGTCGTGCTTTGGTGCCCGACAAGACCCTGGATGAGTATGCGTCTATTGTTGTCACAACACACAACCCACCGTCTGGGCAAGCGCCTCGGAATCGCCTTGGGGATCTGGGATGTCACGCTCCGAGAGGGACTAGTACATGTTGAACCGAGCCACACGCTTCAAGCTCATGGAACCTAGCTCAGCGATCTTGCTGGCCAAAGATCTTATTAGAGATCTTTGACTCTACGAACGATCGTACGAATCTCGACACTTTTATTGAAGAGCATTTGTACCGAATGGGCTGCAGATCACTCGATGCCCTTGGGATAGAGTCTATTACATGGCATTTGCCTTGTGTGCGACAAGCGCGGTTGTACTGAGGACTAGCCGCCTCCTACGTGCTGCGCGGTGAATCTCGCCAACGTGCTCTTGCTCGTCTAGAACGGAGACACCGCACAGTGTTGTGGCACCCGCCGAGATCGTCAGGTAGGCCTCGTCAGGACCATGGTCTCATTCATTCAAGTCTTGGATAACCTCGCGCCTCTGGGCGTGGTCGTCATCAAAGGACAGATCCATCTATTGTAGAATTTCGCACACATCAAGGCTTCGCTTGCCACCGCACCACCGCTGACGACGTCTGTCGAGGACATTGATAAACTACGTAGCCTCCTTGCTCTGGATCGTGACGCTTGGAGGGACTTTACGGGAAGTGGCGTCATCGGCCTCACTCGGGCGACAACAGACGAGTCGCCGCCCATGCAGCCACGGACCGGTGAGCGAGCGAGTGACGAAGAAGAAAAAATTGCTCGTCTTCACGTACACGCATCACCTTTGTACGGCGATGATACGTTTATATGACTTAATGTGCAGTTGCTCAAGCGTTCGGGCGTTCGTTGAATGTCCTGTCATGACAAAGCGCTCCTTAGAACCCTCCAAGTACACGTTTGTATCTGGACGCTGAGGACGTCCTATCGACAAGGGCACCTATCTCGTGGCCTTGGTGCTGAAATCCAGTACTAGTATCTTCTTACACTAGTTGGTCGAAGCTCATGGACGAACCACTGGGGACGAACGCTGCATCACCAAGTTTTGTCGTATTTCGGTGGCGTTCCTTTTGAGCTCTTATTTCTTCTCGTCACGTTTGAGGATGCTGAATACAATTAGCGAGTTTAATTACTCTCAACGGGAGCTGCAATATACCGAGCTGGTAATGCTACTCCAACCAAGCCTCCCCAAGCCAGATTTCAAGGGGAATTTCCGAAAAGAACACAAAATCACAAACCAGCCAATCATAACCCATTTAACCTCCTTTTAAAGCCAATCCGATTCACGTATTCCTCAATTGGGTTTTTTTGTGAATATTTGAGCAAATTGAGTTTTGTTTGAGAAATACACTCGACTTGAAGCAATCTGTTTCGATGTCGTTCCCAGGTGACGCCGGCGCAAGCGGCCAATCAACATCACATCAACTGCATCTTGGGTCGCAGACAGTACAGCATCGCCCGCTCCAACCTGGGGTTCTCGGTATACCTGGTAGACAATTCTGGACCACGACGCGGTCTCCGAGGGACCGAAGCGTGTCCTGTCTGTCTCAACGAACTACGGTTGGCGAAACGCGACGACGCACGCG